CTCCATTTAACAGTATATTATGTTTTCATTTTGTATAGTGAGATTAACCATTTATCTAAAATATGAAGAAGTTCCAAGATGATAACGTTTAAACAACCATTAATAGTCAAATCTTGATGAGTGAATACTTTTCAACTGTAAACTAACATTTAACATCATGAATGACATCATACTGTTATATGTTATTACACGTTCTTCAAAGTCTTTTACTCATTATTCTGTGTATACATTCAAGTATACAGAATTTTGATTAGGACTAAAGTTGTATACATATGTGGTGTATGCTATTTATGTCAACGGACATAAGTAGTATGTAACGCTAATCACAAGTGGAATGCCTGCTAGCAGAAGGTTGGTTAGATCGAATCGATTTTTATGGCAATGAAGGAACGATGAAATTTGACAAAACTAACTGAGGATTTGCAAATGAAGTATTGAATGTATTGTTTTCACAATTGATGAATGTGATTTTAATTCACTTATTAATTAACCAACATTCTTTATATAAATATAATTTGGATTTCTATTTCATCGGTTACTATGTATATTTATTATTATCTTAGTAAATCTGAAAATCACTTTTCTATACTTGTGATTTAATGTTGAAAGAAATGTTTTACTTTTAATGAAGTTTGTAACCGATTCAACGGGGTACCATTTTGAGCGTTGGCATATATATTCTTTGAAAACATATCGCATATAAATAGATCTTTATGTTAAAAGTATTAAAGAAAAGCAAGATGTGTGTGTTTCTTTTTCTCGAAAATCCGAATATGGAACATACTTATTAAATCATTAGAGAAGTAAGAAGGGCTAATTCAATGAATAAAATGTGTTTCTTCTAATGTAATCATGAAATCCTCTGGTCAAGGATCAAAGTTCCTTAGGTTATGGAATTACGTACATAGTTAATGCGAATATATATTATCGTGATACTAAATAAATTATAACATAGTCGAAATTTTATACTATCAACCATTAGTTTCGATTATCCGATTTTTTTTAATCTTTTGCTTATGTTATTTTTGATTGTTGTCGGTTGCTTTCATTACTAAATGTAAGTGTGTTCTATGTATTTACTGAGTTATCAGTTCATTTTTTTCTTTTTTATATAATTTCTCACTCTCCTCTACACATTCACTCAGTAACACAGAGTACCTTTAGGCGAAACAAAAACCTACCAAATGCTGAACATTACAAAAAATATTATTAGCTTATAGTAAAAATAAATACAATAAATTATGATCATACCACTATAAAATTGGTACGATTTTTATTTAGAGCCATCATATGAGTAGATGTAGTTCATTACAGGGACAACCAATTACAAACAAGGTCATCAGAACAAACTGATTTATGAATCGTGAAATGGAGCGTTGATGACGTTGTCTAGATAAACAATAAAAACTAGTCAACCAAACCCTATAACTTAGAGAATTGAAAAACACACTATACCTGCAAATCTTTTTCATAAACTCAAGAGCTTGCATCTAATTCATGTAGTCAATGTTTAGGCTACACTTTAGTTTATTTAGTTGAGATTTGTGTTGTGTTTTGAGGGATATTTCAAAAGGAACCAAGTGAGCTAAGTTAACTAGTTAATTTTCGATTCACTGGTGTTGTCAATCAAACTGAGTCGATATATATTTGTGCCTATTTCTATGTTATGACTGACTGTTGTATAATGAAGTTATGAAAATCTTATCATTTACTTTTGGTTCGGTAAACGGGATAGTGTGCAAGAATGTTTTGCAATCGATGAACATATAGTGTTGTCTATGTACTCATTACCATGGCAACGGTCAATCTAATAAATAGATATTTATGTGGCTTAAAGTGTTAGCTTATCTTTGTGACATTAAGAAACTGCGAAGATAATACCACTGGAAGGTTCAAGTTCAATGTTTAATATTCCGTATATAACATTATCAAAAGCTTTCTGGATCAAGAGGTATAAAGTTTTACCTAACGATCAAAAGAATTTAGTTTGATCTCTAGAATTTTTCACTCAGTTAAAATAGATTACAAAATTAGTAATTGTTTGTTAATGTTTTAATAGAGAAACGCGTTGATTAACATGAAGCACTGATTTGTTTATTGCATTATCTCTGATCAACTTGGGGAAGCTTTCTAATACAGAAAGATGATTTTTTCAGAATTGAGCCTTTATTTCATGAAGAAGAAGCATTAATGTTACCAATCAGGTTTTTTTATGGTTAAAGAAAATGCATGAGTGTAGAAAATTTTCTTTAAACACTAAAACTAAAATTATTGATTGAATCTCTATAGTCTCTAGTTAAATCGAAACCCACAAGGGTATGCCATAAATCACTCTGAAAGTTTTAGTGCTATCTATCTATCTATCAATCATATAATTTTATTGACGACACCATAAAAGGCGAAGTTATTTAGCGACATAGAAATATACTGAAGTTTGTCAGATATATTGAGTTTTAAATCTCAACTACTTAGATAAGGCAAATAACTAACTTATACTTGTATATTGGTTTTCACCAATAATCAGAACACGTTTGGTAATCATAAGGAAATACATCTTTAATCAATTTCTTGTTAGTAATTAGTAAACAACTAATCTAGATCATTACCAACTTGGATATTCTAAATAAGTTTCAGAAGTTCCCAAATGTCAATTGTATTTGTTCTTATTTATCATTACGACTTATTTCCTTCTTATATTAATTTATATACGTTGTCAGTTGTGATAATGAATCTTAGATGGGAGAAATGTTTCTACTCAGGTTTCAGAACCATTTGATACTTTGTACGGAAACTAATATCTAGGAAATTTTGCATTCTATTTTTAATCTTATATTATCAAATACATTGAACTGTAACTTATTATTTAAAACAGCTTAACTAGAAAATTTTATAATTGAATAATATTTTAATCGTTCAAAGATGCCCGTCATATTAAAAGACTAATATATGAACGAGGAATATTCTTTTCGATAGATTCTCTTCAGGTTCTACAATTCATATATCCAAATTAATAATCCGAAAAATGGCCAGGTTAAGGGCAAAGTACATCGTTCAAAGCATGTGAATTTAGGATTGTGATAAACAAAATACAATAAAATTGTTAATGTTAATACGACTCATATAGAATGTTCACTTGAATCTGCGTATATGTGAAGTGAAATTTTATGATCCATGATCAGAATAAATATGGCTCAAATATGGTGAGAGAGAAATAATAGTGCAATTACAATTCGATCAAATAAGTAAGACGTAATATGGAGGGATGAATGCGAAGTGAATGAATCCTGTATAGGGGAGATTAATAATGATGTTAAACCAATAATACGAAAAGTGATAATAATAATAGTTATAATAATAATAATAATAATACTAAGATTTATGAATAAAGATAACAGAGACAATCACAATTGACTGCGAAAGGTCGTAGTCAAATTAGATAATTCAATAGTTAAAATTACGATTGATTAATTGGCCTTGATGTTGGCCAGGGGATGAAGAGTGGTTGATTATATTTCTTCCGTACACATAGCTCCGGTTTCTTCATCCGGATGGCTACTGCTTCAGATGTTTGACCAGTTTTGGCAAAAAATTACTGACCTTATAATTAGTTGAAAAAGATTGGTTTATACTGGCACTATAACCGGTTTGTATTAAATGGGCCAATATTGAGAAGTTCACTTTCTTTATCAAACTAATCGCAGTTCTCCGGCGTTAAAAGATTTTTGTATTATCCTACGTAATCTCTGAGTTAATATTTCACTAGCCGCATCCCCTCTGAATTGTAGACACATGAACAGGGATTTCTTCTTCACTGTTTGTATTTCGCCTTCGTGACCATATATTTAATTATAAACTTTCTAAAGTAGCCGTTTCCCTGAGAGTATTATGCAAGGTGTTAAGCTCTTGTTCAACTATATCAGCAGAACGTATAGTGCGTATACGGTAACTAAAGATTTTGATCAAGTTTCGTTTGTATTGTAGAGGTACAAAGCTCAGGAAATTCGTATACTGCCCAGTCCATGTATTTCTTCTGTATAATTTCCTTTTTAACGATCCATCCGCTCTCTTAGTCAAGAGAACATCCAAAAAGGCTATTCAGCTATCACTCTCTTCTTCAGATGTAAATTGAATGGCTGGATGCACTTCATTAAATCGCCTAGGAACCTCCTGCGGCGACGTGTTATCTTTACAGAGGATGAACGTGTCATCCATGTATCTAAAGTAAAATGTGAAGTTTTGAATAATCTCTTTTAGTGGACCAATTTCTAGTTTGGCTAGAAAAATATCAGCTAGTATAGGGCCTAGTGGTGAACCCATTGCAACACCATCTGTTTGTCTATATATTTCACCGTTGAACTTGAAATTCACATTCATGGTGCATTTGAGTAATAACTTTTTCACGACATTAATAGGAACAGTAGTTTCAATTTCATTTTCAATCAGCGGTTCACCTATATATTCTACAGTCTCTATGAGTGGGACGTTTGTGAATAACGATGTTACATCCAATGACGTCATCTTTAGTCCCAACGTATTTGCATTTCTGATTTTATCAACAAATTGGAACACATCATCAACACTATATTTTACAAGCTTTTCATGCAGAGGTTTCAATACAGTTACCAACCATTTAGAAAATGGAAACTCTGAGATGCAGGTACATCCAGCTGACGAGTCCCAAATAGAACGAAACGCGCATCCTGGATTCCACTGCTAGCCACTAACCATAATTGCTTACAAAAAATAATTAGTGCATTTATTTCTTGAATACTACAATGAGACATTAAATATTACTGTTCACACATCATGATAAGGAGCTAATTGAAAAGAAATTTTTCGCCATTCAAGTTGTATTTTTAAAGTTAAAATAGGGATACTTTATATATATCAGAAAAGTGACATCTGATTGCTTGTTAAACAGGTTACGACTCACTGGAACAACATGATATATTTTAAAAAGGGCTTGGTCCATCACATTAAGATAATGAAAATCCGAAGGGCTTTTCTATATGAAAGTTTTCAAAAAGGAAAATACATTAGAAAATGAGATTATTCACATTAATATTACAGAAATGATTGTTCAATTCACCAGTAATTAAGATATATTTGTAAAAATCAACGGATATATATCAAAGGCATTATGATTTTAAAAAGTGCGATAGAGAAAGTATGTGCATCATAGCATTGATTCCTTTGGTTTTTACATTATGGCTATGAAAAAAAACAACTGAATATCAAATGCAAGGGAAACCAAAAAGAAAGGAAAGCCTAGAGACGGGTTGTTCAATAAAACTAACTAAAAGTTCATTTATATATTAGGTGTGGTTAGAGTGTTAATTGTGTACAACAAGGCCATCACCATTCAGTAACGACAAGAGTACATGTTTGAACATCTATAAAACAAAAATAAGGGAATAGCATACAAACTTAAAGATTGAATAAGTAATTGTTTTATAAACGGTTTACATCAGTTTTAATCACATATATCAGTGGTAAGTGATTATTGACAATAAATAACAAATATCAAATTTGAATAACCGTAGTTATTTATAAAATCAGTTTATTTTCCGTTAATATTGTATTTTATACTGATGATGATGACGATGCTGGATTATTATCTTCACTCTCTGCAAGTATTCTTTGTATATGTAATGGTTTATTTGAATAGATTGTATAACTAGTCGGTTTCATATTATTTTTTTGTGAATTTTGTTGATTTAAGGGATTATTAAGAGATCCTTGTTGATTGTTGTTACCATTATCATCATCATTATATTCTGTAATATCATCCGGCAATGTGAAACCACCACTTGCGCCAATACAGGTAGTATGCTCTGGTTTGAGTAGCAGTTCTGTTAGTACAGCAATATCAGCATTCATTTTTTCCTTTGGCCATTCACCATAACATGCGATTAGTTCACGTCGAACTTTTGCAGCAGCACCAGACTTGCCATACTCTATCAATTGTTCCTAAAAGATGTGTACATTTTTTAAAATTGGTAAGTCGCCAAATTATTTAAAACAAAGGATGAAAAACGTACCTAATTTTTGAAAAAAATGCAATTTATCGGTAAAAACAGATAAAAAACAATTTTTTAAAGTTAGTTACTGTTAATTCGCACTAACAGAAGATAACATTTTTCTATTTCCCCGTATTACGTTTAGAAATTTGTAGTAAGAATGTCCAATTACCAACTAAGGCAATGCGTGATTATAGTTGATGTACGAGTAGTTTGGAAGGAAGCTTTTAGTAATTAAACCGAATCATGACATAATTGCATGAAATCATTACAACAACTATCAGTTAAAGACAATGGGTAATATGGATTAGAATTGTTCGCAATTGCACAGGTGAATTTACTATTTACCTTTCCTTAGATCCTAAGATCCGTTATTACAAAATATTTTCTTATTCAACGAAATCATATTTTCACCGCGAATTATATTCTCTATGCCTAATTTTTTTACTACCACTAATACTGTTAAAACTTATACAACTCTGGACTACAGCTGTGTAGACGTGATGTGGCAACTTGAACTAATGGAAACGTGTCAGACTCTACGTTGCGTATGACTGACTAACTGATTTAAGTGACTAGTTCAGTAATCTGAAGCGTAGTGTACTACTTACTTTCGAATTGCATGACAAGAGTTAATGTTTGTAATAACTCGATTACCTTGGTAATTCCTTAGGACGTAAATGTTTACCTGGGGATCTTTATACTTAGCATACTATGAACAAACCAACGAATAACTATCAAATGTAATACTTTTAACATCTCATTATCTGGATGGAACTTATCTCCAGTAGTTAAGAAGCAATGGATAATATTTGTGACTTTCAAAGTAGAAGGTACCAAATAAACTGTTAACTCTTTCAGAGGATCAAAAACCATTAGATGGATTCATAATGAGAAATAACTCAATACCACAGTGAACATAAACATACTGATTCATTTTTATATTAGTTGTTTAAGTCTTCCCATTTTTGTTTAGGACTGCAATTGATTAGTCTCACATTGGCATATTTGCATCCTGTGCGTCAGCTGAGTGTGTCTGAATCGCATCGCACAAGCCAGTGGCTATCTGGACTCATTAGCTAAATGTATAGCGAGATGATATTTGAAGCGAACAGTAGTGGGTTCGAGTCCCAGAATTAAAGTCAACTCTGGGATGCAGGTACATCCAGATGACGAGTTCCCAATAGAACGAAATGCACATCCCGTATTCCACGGATAGCCACCATCTATCTCTTCTTATAAACATATACAATGTTTTTGCTTAAAATCATTAGTTTTCTCTAAGTATTGAAGTATTGTTTATCAAAGCCTGCTTTCGAATTTTGCCAAATGAAACAAGATATGAGGAGCGTTCGAGGTTATTGCTTCACTTGTTACTGACTATTTCTACCAATGCAATTGGCAGGGTTAGTAGTGAAGTTTTAATTAAATAATGGATGACGATGAATCAGTAAAAGAGCAGAATGATACAAAAATATCTATTTTAGCATTGAACAAAAAATAAGTGTGAGAGTATTTCAACTTACCAAAAATCCACTATTCGGACAAGCGCATGGTCTTGCACCAACAACTGCTCTAACGAGCTTTGGTAGAGGCATATTTGTTATGGTCATCAGATAGGCCAAAGTTATTGTCACGCTACGAGAGACGCCACAAGCGCTTTTTAAGTAATATGGGAACAGAGATAGAGAGTTATTATACATAATTATTATAATTTTGATAAAATAAGAGATTGAAATTTACTATACCATCACCCTTATCTTTACTCTTTTGTTTGGTTTCTTGCTGGTAGTCTTTTACTTAGCAAATAATGGATTGTGATTACTTGAACATATAAATAATTGTTTATTCAATCACAAGGTATGTATCGAAACCTGTGAAGGGTAAAGAAGTTACCTAGACAGGTTTGGTTTGTAATTCGGAGAAATTAAATTTAACTTGACTTAGTTATCAAGTACTCAGATTTGAGCAGCATTATGTGTGGCTGTCAAAACCAAAGTTAAGTGGTTGGAGTTGAGACCACACATTTACGGGTTGAAAACTGACTGTTACAAACACTAAGTCGCGGTGCTAATAATTTTTATATCTGACTATTCCCAGTAAACTAATAAATTGAGTCAAAAGTCAAACTTTCTGTTGGTGAACTACGAGTCTAGACGTATACTTTATCATGTGGATTTAATTAGTGGATCGTTGAATACATGACCTGTCTGATAGGTCGACCTATAACGTAATCTGATGAACTCCAGCACAAAAATTACTAATACTAACCTCAATAAAGAATGTCAGATGTTTATTACGTGACACTCTTTGGCTTATTATACAGCAGTACCATAGACTTTTTGTCTGAGACTCCTGATATGACCGAGATTGTGGAGTCTTGTCTTCTTGAAATGATCTCATAAACCCATTCTTTTATAGTCCTTGGTATGAAAGTCCCATTCTTAACCATTATGTATGCGGTGCTGTTTTAAAGAAAGTACTTAGATGAAATAAGGATACCTGGAGCTTAAACCAGGCTGGTAAACACGACGACCCCACCTGGAAGAGTTGGATAAAATCGATTACAAACCAATGGAAAATATTGTCTCCTAAATCTTGACGGAAAGAAGGGAGTAAGGACCTACTTTGGTCAACAGCTAACATGAGACTGTGTCTATCGAAGTGAAAAACTAGTGAGGAACGAACCAGTTTCTAGGCAGGTTATCAGTCCACGAAAAAGTGCTAATAAGGACTGAGTGTGTGTAGGGCACTTTCAAAATATAGGACTATGTTGCTTGTGACTTTGCGACGTGTTTCGTGTATGAGCATTGGGTTTCTGGAAGCTCTTGAGGAACACTACTCTGACCTGGTGAATCATATATTTGACGATATTTGTAGATTCCCAGCTCAGAAACTGCTATGTTTGAAGAGATTAACAGTTCACCTAATCTGCAAACGGAACGAAGACTCAGTGAGACAACGACCAAATAAACCAACTGTACCGATGTGTCTCAGCCCCGCTAACTAGAGAGAGGAGTCCAGGTGCACAAGAGGGAAATGTATTCCACAAGCACCCAGAAGCAAGAACGACAAACACAACTCAAGCATATATATATATATATATATATATATATATATATATATATATATCAGTTAGCCAGCTTCAACGTAGGACCAGGCACATATATGCATCGGTCCAACTTGCCATACCTCATTAACACAACAAGATGAACACCTGATTCACAAAAGTAGTTAATTCAGAGGTGGTAATATATAAAAGAAAGATTGGATATAAGAATATAGCACAGGAAGAAAGAATTAGTTCGTAGAAAGGAAAATATAAAGCAATTTTTATCTCACGATTTAAGGGAAGACAGAGAGTGTATACACCGACGCCATTGTGATCGATTCTCAGCTATGTCACCAACAGTCTCCAACCATTGGTCACAATAGTCGCGTTGACCCCAACAAAGCAGTCTGCATCTATCAACATTGCTAGAACTAGAAGTTAGTGACTCCAAAGACTGATGTCACGTTTTGGTTTGGCCAACCCTAACTTTCTTCCAACCATCACCAACACTAGTCAGCAGCATTGCGCGTCGTGGTAATCAGTAGTCAGGCATACGTAACACGTGGCCCAACCATCTCAGTCGATGAAGATTCACAACATCATCAACTGATTTGCCATCATTCCCTAATACCCTGTGTCTAACCTCACTATTACTTACCCGGTGATCCCAGACGCAATATTTCTAAGGCATCTGTGGTCAAATACTAGTAGCTTACGAGTATCTTATACTCTTAATGGCCATGTTTCGCTGCCGTAAACTAAATATATATAAAGCATATAAATGTCCTTGGGAAACGTTACAAAACAGCATATTAAAAGAGACAACAAATCAATGATATTTGAGGTTCTCGCAAGTGGGAAATACGACATGAAGGTGAAAATGGGCGCTTTTGGTGCGAAGACAGGAAATTTAAATTTCCAGAATAAAATTACAAAAATAAGACATTTACCAAGTAAGCTCTGAGGATCTTGCATCCCCAACAGAAATCAGGTAGCCACAGTGTGGTAACGAGTTGGAATTAGCAGCTGCATATGGTTACTAACGGAGACTGTTCCAACTCATCTGAGACACTGGTAGCAAAACACCAGGTGTCCATGAAACAATTGACAGTTAACGGGACACTAATTAGTAACCGAAAAAGGTATCATGACCGCTGGGCAGTGAACTTCAAAGGATAGTCTGATTGGAATATAGCCCTAGTGACGTTCATAACTGTCCGATGGCTTGCGATCCACCCGACAAAAAGGACTTCAGTACGATATCACAAGAAGGCGACAAAATTCACCAGGCCTAGGAGGTCCACCATCGGCTCCTTTTAAGGATAGTGGTTAATCAATGGTCACGGAACTGACAAGATTATTTGAAAAGACACGACAGTGTTTTTAGTCATGTTATGGTTTTTTAACATATTCACGAAAGTAGAACCGTCTCGCTTAAAAGAAAGGGAATCTCCTAAGTATACTTGGAAGTCTAAATCGATAGCCTAAAAAACATATGGTTTTAGTAGCTTCACTGTGCAGAGATGGAACATAAAAAGGTGAGACTACAATGAATGTACAGAGAATTTCGAAAGAATACAGAACCAGCTTAGTACAAATTCCAAATATTTGAAAAAACTGACGAAATAAAATGACTGTAACAACCTTAGATTAACAGATAAATAACAAAGAACTGAAAAAATACGCTCAGAAAGGCTTTTTACTCACCAATGGACTAGCACGGCACCATCATAAACCCTTGCCCCGTGAATGAAAAAGGATGCGTCCCTAAAATATTTGGCAATATTTTCCTTCGAGTCGTCATCAGCTCGAAGCAGCAACTGCTTTCTAGTGGGACACTAACTACTGTCAAGTTATGAGCATACTAGATTACCTTGAAATTGTAGTGGAGAACGCTACAGACATGAGTAATGCCATTTTCTTCCAGTTGACTTTTGGATTGAGCGCTAGCAACTCCGCCAATGTATAAACCAGGAACTATTCTCGACATCGATCCACCCATTTTCTGTTTTTGTCACAGAATACACATCAAAGCTCCAGAAATGAATCAGTTATAGTCGGATTTGTTATGCACCCATCGACAACTCAATTGAATGTAACTCAAACACTTGAACTAACCACATTCAATATAAAATATTTTATGAACCGAAAATGACGACTCGTGTTATCACAGTAATAATGGTAGAACTGGCATGAATAATGGTCGCGGTTACGAAATGTTTCGAGACAAGCATCTGGTATTGTTATTCCAGGTGAAAGATTGTGTGCCACGTGAAAATACATGTTTCCGAGCCTTATATTAGTACTGTGAACCACGAAGCCGCAGTCATGTTGGTTGTAAAAAACATTTGACAGTGTCGACCGGCAAACTTCTGATTTAACCTAGGTCTCCCCTTATTAATGTGCAGTCCTTCTTGGGTTTGAAGATACCACAGGTATTCGGAGTTTGACAACGCCCAAACCAGTAACACCTAATACGAGTCGTACCCACCAAGTGAAATTAAAAGACAGAAGCGAGAAGGTTCGAAGATACATTTGATAGACTGTCAATATATCGGGGATTGTCTGATCTAATCTGGCTAGCGATTGCAGGGGTTGTTGAGCATGGCGTTCCCACTCGTGATCTGGTGCGGTTGGATGACCGAGCGCCTTCAGCTAAGTGAGTCCATTAAGACTAATGTGGTCAGCAACCGATGTCGGAAACATACAGAGCTATTTATTTTGATGATTTATTTACCGCTTCAGGTTGAACGGATAGAAATTTTTATTTGGGTGGCCAGAGGTTTTCAGCTTCTTTTATATCATTATTAGATAACTTTGTGTTCTACTTCAATCTACCAATCACAAAACTGGATGTACAACTCTATATTCATAGAGCTTGTCTCTGAATCGTCTGACCGAATGTGCAATAAGCTACTCACTTTTCACAGGAAAATCGTTCATGTTTTTTTCAGGAGAAACGGATACATGTCCCTTGGATGTAATTGCAGTTTTACGTTCACTTTTGTTCAGATGACGTATACTTTATTTTTACATTCCACCTGCTCATTAACGTCAAGGACAGCTCGTACGTTGAGCCATTTAGTAAGTTCCGCTTTCTGTTCCTGACATTCCTATTTTGTACGTGCAATTTTTCAGTGACTCGTCTTATCCTGGATGTTCACTAACCTGGTGTTCTTAGTGTCCTTTCTATCCAGGATTTCAACATTCTTCTAGTCGAATTTATGTTCACAGTTGTCCATATGCATTGATATACGTGAAAGTATATGATGGCGTTTTACCGCTAATCGATGTTCGCGCAGGTCAAAGAGGAGATTTCAGTCACTTTGTCAGATAAAGTACTCCCATTCACTGAATACGTATGATTTCATTGTTTTTGATGTATATGTTTTAGTCAACCTCCTAACTTGTTTGTGTTGATCCGTAACCTCAGATATTTTTGTTTCACTTTTTTTGGACTCTCATTTAAAAGTTTCTCTTTGGAAACCTAAAACTTGAAGGTCTGTTCTGTAGTTTTAATAATGTTATATTAGAACGATATCTTTGGATCGATTACTTGTAGTTTGCGAATAAACTTTTGCACATTAATCTTAATTTCTTTCTTACTTAAGGACGTAAGTTATGAGTAAGTCAATCGACTATGCTCCAATAACAGACGAGAGCATGACTAAGACGTAACACTCTGCAAAAATGGGAAATGTTTAGAAGCTTGACACCCAGGTCAATGGAGGATCAACAAGCATATCGGAATGAATTCAGTATATCAATAAATTAGAAAAATCCCTGAAATACACAAGAACAGGAATCTAGTCACAGGGATATACTGTCAAAATAAATAAGCAGATAACGACGGGGTAAAGGCCGACAAAATCCAATAATATAAAGCTAGATAGAATGATCTGAGAGTCATATGTAGAGGAGTGCAAATATTTTACTACAACATGATGATGTTCTAAAGAACAGTGAAAGGCACATGAGCAAACTATTCATCTCAGGGAATGAATTTCCGCATAGATCATCCACATTAGCTACAGATCGTCCCCATCATCTTAAGTAAGAATGGATGAGTTAAACTTGCTTTAGGGTTGAGCAATTACAGGGTAATTACTTTAAAATTCAATGATCACACAAGAGGTGACTTGTTGATTCACTTAAAACACAAATGGCTAAAGTCTAGGACTGCCGTTTAACTATGATAAAAACAAATCGAAGCACGGACGAACCTTGGATTTTTTCATAAAACGAAATAGCCTTACTTCATTTTGCGATCGCTTAAATAACTGTCACACCGATATATAAGAGCTGATTAAACCACATTCTGAGAGAGTAATCAATAAGATTATTGAATTGTGTTACAATCGTACTCTTACGTTGACTTGCTGGTAGTCTGTTCTACAAGAATAAATTATGAATGACGGTTAAATTCAAACATATGTCTTTGTGTTTCCCCTTAATCGATACACAGTTTTCCTTGTTGCACAGGTTGTTGGATGATATGATATAGCCTAAATGTATGGATGTCAAAGAGTTAAAAATAACATTTATAAGACGGGAGATTACTACAAGGCCTAATTTAACGTGTTTGATTCAACGAGGTCCCAACGTTAGTTGATGACATATTTGGTGATAATCCTTATGATGAGAATACATCAAAAGAGCTCTATTGAATCGCTTTCGACAATCTTGAATGTACATGAGATCATTATACTTGGAATTACTGGAAACCAGAATAACATTCAAGGAAAGACATGAAACACTTTTGTATCATGGAAGTTATGAATATAGAAATTCTCTTTGGTCAACACTAAAGTACAGTGATTGAAGAGAAGAAAAGTGACAGTTATCGAGGAGCAACATGATAGGAAGATAAGAATCACAAAACTAAAACCATCAGAAAAGGAATGGTCTTATTCTCTGATCTATTCACACCTTGCAGGTTTAGTCTGTGGTCAGGTTCGAATACATTCTCAACACAGTTATATTGCGCTAATGAGAGAAAATTTGATTAATAATTCTGAGAAGGTTTCTGTGTGAACAGTGGTTGGTATTAATACTTTCTCATAAATAATCAGAGGCTGACAGTTGCATTCGTACATTTTGAAGTTCTGAGGCGACAGCGAAAAAATACTAGGGCTTCTCGATAAATCATCTGTCTTGCAGATTTGATAGCAGACCGCTGAACGCCAACTTATATACCAACATGCATTCAAAATCGCGGATGGTGTCACGCTTGAACACTGTTACTGCCAAACGGATATTTCAACATTATTTAGATATCGATTGAGTGTAATGCTAGCTTCTAACAGGTGATCACTCAATATTTGTTGTCAGGATTGATCAAGAAATAAGAAAAGGAAACTTGTTGAGATACTTTGAGCCAGAAATTCTACGTTGCACTAAAAACATAATATTGAATAAAGCTAGTGCTAATGATTATACAAAACTATCGCAACTCAATTATTATTCACAAACAACTCACTGGCACATACATGTTGTGAAGAAACCATTTCGGATTTCTTTATGAATGTAATTACACAAAAGTTTCAATAATGTTTGCATCATATTCGCCAAAGTTAAACAGGTTTTGCAGAAGTTGGAAGATTATTGAGTCAAGTTTAAGGAAAATGCAAAGAAAAAACGTGAAGTATGTAATCAATTTAACAAGCATGTTTATGAAACAGAATCAATTAAGTCAAACTGCACGTGTTAGGACCATAATGGCTACTAACTAACTAACTTACGATGCTTGAATAATAGGCTGGCTGTAACATATCCGTCTTGGAATGATGTAACTGACTACTCTATGTGATCTTGTGTTAAGGTCTTATCGTGGTTTATCCTGACTTGTTCAGGCGTGCCAGTCAGTGTGTGCTGCTTTATAGAGACCTGTGAATGAAAAATACACTTATGCTGGCAGAATGACATACTTATTACAACGAAATGTAAGGTGCTGTGTGTCACCACATTTTCGATTGTTAGCAAATCAGTTTTGATAATGTTGCCGTATAAGCCTTTCTTCGCCTTCACTACTTTCCGTTCACCATTCAACATGTCCACGTAAAAGTACTGGGGCAATATACTCAGCTTGAGTTATCATGTGGCCAGGCTTCGGCGCTATCACACTTCCCGTTCTAGTCTACGAACAATATTGTCGATCTACAGATCTACTACCTCTCATACTAAGTGCATCATCCCCACAGTTCAAACAAATGAATTTCTTCCAGGCATCATCATAAGCGAAACACTTTCTTGTTAGGCCTGGGTTTCTCGATCGACTGCTCCACGTCTATTTGTGTTGGCTGTAGTACCTTTAGAACCAACAGCTTTAAAACATGAGATGCGTGTAATGTTTCCGAGATTACTATGGATTCGTAATTTGTGATGGTGATATATAAAGCCGGTGCCGTATGACCTATGTGTTTTCTCATTTCCCTTTTCCGTAGTCATTCCACTAGTACTTCTCACCCTTTGAATGCTTATTTTCACACACTTACCTTATTAAGGGACACACATGATAATGATGATCATTAACGGCTCATATTTCGTGATAAGAATAACCTGACATGATTCTTTCTTAATTATCTTTAATAAGTTAAGGATACGTACCCCTTATTTGAGGCATTCTAAAAGTTCCAAAAGAATGTCGTTAAAGAGAGAGTAAAAAACGTTGATCAACATACAAATACTAAACAACATCAGTAGAGTTCTATTGGGTAACAAATGTCTGGCTTCCTAAACCTCATCTGGCATCTTAGGTTAGCCTGAGAAAACAGGAAGAACTAGAGCACACTATTCGATTTAAAGGTGATAAAACTATGGTGAATGACTGTGGTGTTTATACGCAATTCACTCGCTGGGATAGGAGACTAAACATACCAATCTGATGGATGTAGTAGATGTCAGTTTTTCGCAGCACATAGGATTCTCAGTATCATTATGGATTACTGTATTATTTGTATCTGCTGAACTGGGATAGTTAGTACGCTAGGCCACCAAAAAAAC